AGCCACTTTAAACCAGTCAATCTGACAAATCAAAACGCTATTATCGACGGAAATTCGTTCCTTTATTTTCTTTATAACCAAATATTACAACACGACAAGAGAAAACGTAAACTGCAACGTGCATTAGATATCAATTTTGCGTACGACGAGTGTTGGGCAAAATTTTCCAATGCTTTTAAACAGTTCAAAGACAAATGTTCAAGAGTCGATGTCGTATTTGATGGAATTTTCAAGCGAAATACTCACAGAAGGTCTACTTCCCAACAACAGAGCCATGATTATGTTCACTTACCGTCTCTTATTTATGAAGAATTCTTAGGTATTTTACATCATTTGCAAATCTCGGTGCATGTGGCTGATGGTGAAGCTGATCCTGCTATTGTTCATATGGCTCGTGAAATCAAGGCTTATATTGTTGCGGATGATTCAGATTACCATCTTTATAAATTCTCTTGCGGCTATGTTCCACTTCTTTATCTCTCATTAGATACGCTGGAAGGACGATTGTATTGTATGACGGATGTTTTTCCTGGATTGAACCAAAAGAGTGTAGCACTGTGGGCAACAACGATGAGCTTTGATTTTATCCCTCTCAATCATGTAAAGGTAACATTTGACTTTTTTTTTCGAGATATGAAATCAAGCATGCTTTCTTGGATATTCTAGACCGTTTTATCGAAAAGAACCATTGATCGGGAAGACAAAGGCTTTTATGATCGCTTGAACCATATCAATCTAACAGAAGAACAACGCCATTCGCTTACTCTTCAGTGGAATCTGTATCGTTCTATTCAACAAACTGGCAACGAGAAACTGAACAACGAATTGATGGCAAATCTCTCCACTGAAAAGGAATTACTATTCCGGCAAGCGATGCAAAGTTTTATTGATGCTTCCGGTAGCAGCTCGATGCAGACACGAAATCAGAGCCCAATTCCTGATTATCTACTCACCCTGTTTAGAGAAGGTAAACTTGATCGTGCGGTTATTTACATTCTCACCGCCGGAACAATATTGCGTCATTGGAAGGGAACGGATTCAATGCATCTTCGTTTGCTTTTACCGATGTGTTACATTCTTCTCAAATCGAATTCTGAAGCAATGAAACAGAACTCGTATTATTCTGATGTTACTTTCAATGGACAGCAGTATCATCCACTTCAGATGGTTGAGTTCGAAAATATACCTTCTCTCGATACTTTCGCTCAACTTAACGACAAGCAACGAAGAACTTTCGTCCAACGTTGTGTCGATTTTGCCCTACAATCTCAAACGGTCATTAGTTGGCACGGAATCCATCGAGATAAACGACTTTGGCTTTCGCTTCTCAAACTATGGTCTCGTAAGACAAAAATAAGTCTAGATCGACAAAGATCAATTCGTCAGGGAATGATTATTTCCTTTCAAAAGCACACGCTGCTCGACACCTACGATGAAAAGAAAGGTAATGATCAAATATAGTTTCGCAATTCATATTCAGTGATATGTTAGAATCACTTAGGTTTATCCAAAAGTTTCTAGGTTGTTAAACAAAATATAAAGACAAAGAGAAAGTTCAAGTTTTATTTTATTAAATGTTCAAAATAGTCACCATGATTATTTATACAAAGCTCCATCCTTTCTAATAGTTTGTCAAAAGTTTTTTTAGATTCTTCTTTAGGAATATTTTTCACCACCTTGGAAACCGCACGAACCAATGATTTTTCATTTGGCTGATCAGTTAAATTCTGTTTGATGTAATCATTTGGCCAATAATCACACGGTGCAAGGTCAGCCCAGTTAGTTGAGGAAACCCTATTCTGCCGTTAAAACGATGTTTAATGTCACATCGTTTAAACGACGATATATTGACCAAATTACGCGTTTATCACAAAAAACGATTTTCTACGTCATAAAGTAATATTATGTTCTTGTCGTTTAAACGTCGGATTGTAGATGTCATAAATAGTGATTTGTTGACGTTAAAACCATAATTTTTCTTTATTTTATCTGTCGTAAACGATACTTTACTTGAAAAAGAAGTTTCATATTCCAGAATCATCTTCGTCTTACATGTAACCTAACCATTTATCTAATTTTATCAATTTGATGATGGACAATACACGTTCGTACTTTTTCTCAATATCTCAATGCATTTCAATGAGTAGGTCTCATTTTGTTTTCGAAAAAGAAGTTAAATTTCTAACAACTCAAAATATTTATTTAAACAAATGAAAGCTCATGCATCTATAAAACATAAGATATGAATAGAAGTCTCTTCTACAAACTTTTCTTTTTGTATTGATATTTGTTCAAAAGACTTCTACTCATGCCTTATATTTTAAAGATGTATGAACTTTCACTTCTTTAAATAAATATTTTGACTTTTTAGAAATTTAACTATTCTGTTTTCTTGAGAATAAAATGAGATCTTTTCATTAGAATATGTTGAGATATTATAAAAACCTGGCTGCACTCTTTCTTCTGACACATCGATCATTTTTTAAAAGTCTTTTTTCTATACTCTTCGTAGGTGATTAGAAATTTGTCGATCGCTCAAGGATGATGCGTTTGTCTTACATCTGATAAATATTCTATCGAAATCCTCTCAAGTTTTTGTTATGAATTCTGGAGTTCAGTTTATTCTAATATCTATGGAGAAATATATAACTAGTTACAAAGTTGTGATTTATGATAATCTCGATGAATAATGAAAGAAGAATCTAAATTAGTTTATTAGTATCAGATATGTATGTGATAATGAAACTTAGACTTTTAAGACGAATTAATGAATTGATACGACAAACGAAAAATTCTAGGGGAAAAATACCATAGATAAAAGGATGTCAATTTTTTGGTATATTTTATCAAAAGAAAATATTGAACAACAACACTATTGACGTACTTCTAAAATTTATTCATTGTTGAGACTTTTTTTCTCGTTCTTTAACAGTCGTCTGTCGTAGATAAAAAATAATTTATTGCTACAAAAGTTAATAGAGCAGCTAAGTTTTTTATTTGATTACTGTAATCTTTATGACTTACACATATTTATCATCTAGTTGTTCTTTTAAAATTTATACTGAAAACGGAATATATACTCAGCATTATATTCTTTTTTATGGTATAAGAGTTAAAAAATTAAAGTTTCTTCGCGTAAGAGTTTCAATCGACGACGAACTCAGTAAAATAACAAGCTCTAAAATGAAATCATTAATGAAACTAAGCTATTTAACATTTTTTTCAACTGATTTATTAAGATCAATCAGTGTGACGTTTTGTTCTAACTAAGAACATTATCAAACACAAATAAATAGACAGAAGAATATATATAAGAGTAAAATAATGTCGTCGTTTTTCTATTCTATTGTTTTAAACATTCTAATGCAGACAGATCAATTTTATTCCCCCGTGTATTGAAATGCTTAAAACAATAGAATAAAAACGATGACATTATTTTACTCTTATATATATTCTTCTTCTGTCGATTTATTTGTGTTTGATAATGTTCTTAGTTAGAACGAAACGTCACACTGATTGATCTTAAGAAATCAATTGAAAAAAATGTTAAATAGCTTAGTTTCACTAATGATTTTATTATGGAATGTGGTGCTACCAAATGACAAATAAGTTCTATATTATATATTTTTTCTACGAATATCGTATTTTGTCAACTATCTCTATGGAATGGACAAGAAAGTTTTCCACAAATACTATCCTAAGAAAAAGCAAAAATTAACGCAGAACGTAAGGTGAAACTAAATCCTCTACATCGTTCAATTCTGAAGACTTCTTCTATTAGAGTTATCTGAATCTTTTTGCTCATGTTTTCTAAGCTCGACCAACGGTCAATGAGAATCCTTATTCACAATTCGTATAGAGTAAATGTGTGAATTTCTTCGTAATCTGAATAGTATTTTAGATTAAATTCAGATATCATTCATGTATCTTATCTTTGTGTGCATTCACATCGCTCGCAGAAGTAATGTTTACTTATTGAGCAATCTTCATCGAATGAATGTGCTGGACGGATTTATTTTCTCTTTTGTCCTTCTCCAGCGTTATTCGTTTTTCCTTCCTCTTCTCTGAATTTTTTTTTTTACTTCTTGACTTAAATTTTTCTTTTCTTTCCTTTGCTTTTCTATCTCTCCAATTTGATTAAGACTAACAATCAATTACTAAGCATATGTGATCCGTTCTGTTTATGCCACATACATTTGTCGAATATATATTAACTGAAAATATTACTCTCTTTTGACTTGGCTAGAGGTTTTAATTGGATTATGTAGCTCATAATTAATAATGTTGTATTGCTTGTCATAAAACGAGTTTCAATTAGCACATATACTGATGAGTTGATAATTTGTGATGAAAACTCTAATGCAGCAAATTTATGTTTGAGAATATTAGGAAAATTTATCGTACGTTTCGAGCTTTGAGCATAATCAAAAAATTAGGATTTCAATGTGAAGATTGAGACTTTAAATCAATAAAATCAACCTCTATTTTTTCGATATTCTAATATTCGCACCAACACATTATTTTGATTCATATGATGTCAATGTTATGCGGATTCTTACTTTAATCAAAGGAACTCTTTTTCACATAATTAAATCTACAGCGAATACTTTTTTGAAGTAATTCAGCAGATCAAAAGATAAATGGAAGCTCGAAACGGACTAAATGTCTTTCACGCGTACTGTGAAAGAATAAAAAATACAAATTCACGAGAATATAAATAATTATGGGAACCAGTTCCAAAAAAAAAGATTAATCTACTTTAAGCATTTACAGCTTTTTTCGTTGGAAAAGATGATCATAAACATTTCTCATTATTTTTTACGAAGAAGAAAATGACTTATATAACCGTTTCAGAGACTATTTAATGTGAATAACGCTTGGAAACGCTGACTAGACGTAAAAACGGCAAGAAAAGTGATGATCACGTTTTTTCTTGCCGTTTATTACCGTTTCCTAATAGAACGGGTGGTTATGACAGTTTAAACGGCATTTTCAGCGTTTCACTTCTTCCTGGGAGGTGAATATGGTGGATGCGGCATTATATTGATACGTTCTTCTGTTAAATAATTAATAACATCTGAATGACGATGGAGTTCAGCATTATCATGAAGCAATTTTATACCTTTTGTACCATCTGACCTTCTTTGTTTCCATATTTCTTTGACCATAGATTTGAGGCAATTTTCAATATAATAGTTGTGATCTATAGTCTTGCCTTCATCAACAGCAGGTATAACAACAGAACTATTTGATAAGAATATAAAAAATAAAATTTTTGGTTCAAATTTATTTCGACGAACAATAGTTGTTAGTGATTCACCTTCACTAACCCAGCTTGCATTGGTTGACTTGCGACCAATCTGCCTATGGTAAATCCACGTCTCATCACCTATTATAATATCACATAACAGCCAGGAACCATTACGAAATTTCGCTAAACTGTCGCGACAAAGTTTAACACGTTCTTGCTTTTGTTCATCAGTCAGTTGATGGGATACCCAACGTGATGTAATTTTTTTCATCTTAGGACAATCGTGTGTAATTCGTGCTATTGTACCATGAGAGAGAGAGATATGTCTCAGGTATAATATCGTTATAAGTTGAATGTGCATCATTGTTGATAACCTCTTGTACTAGTTCAATATTTTCATCTGTAAGTTCGGAAACCGGACGACCAGATCGAGGATCATCACTGACATCTTCTCTTCCTTCACAGAAACGCTTTGTCCACTCTGCAACTGTTAGATATGATGGAGCCTTGGATTCTAAAGCTTTTACAAGTTCTTCGTGAATTATCTTTCGATTTATCCCCACAATAGTTCGAATTTTTATATAATATTGATTGTATTCATTATCCATTTTTGAAAATTGCTTTTTAGTTCGAATTAAAGTTTATCGAAAAAAAGTATTGTTACTAAGTCCGAAATAGAGTTACTGTATCTATAATTATAAACAATGCACTCCACTATTTATTCATGCAAAAAATGCTTCAATGCTAATTGGTTCATAAAATTGCCCCTAGCAATCTGGGAACTTTTGGAAGACCTAAGTAGTATTTATTAAATCAGAAAAGCCTTTTCACAATTATCTAATCTTAATGTGTGTTGCAGAACATACACTGCAGGGAGCACAATTACCTCAACAATCACTTCTTCGATATTCAGACGAACAATTGAAGAAATATATTTCAAAAGCTCAATGTGCCGAACTGCGAACTTCAATTAACAATAGTGCCATTATTCATTTACCGAACAAACAGATTAAGGAAGAATTGGAAGAAATTGAGCAGTTCTACAAAGAATTAACAATGGTCAATCAATTTTCTGGTCAACCATTGGTTATTCCACTACCACACAAATGCATCAGTCTTCTCACTTATCGCTTGGCTATCAGTTTATCAAAGAAGAAGCGCTCGAACGTTATTCAAACTCTCTTCAAACAAAATGAACTTTTGATTCGGTTAACAGAAGAAATTGAGACATTTCTTACTTAGTTTTTGAATTTTTAGAATTGTTTTTTTATTATTATTCATTCAAAATAAAGCTGATTGTTTCTCAAATAACTTCTCAGTAGAAACATTTATCAATCAGCAGTTTTTACCGTGCGCAAGAAGCTAACATCCTGAATCCTTCTGAATGATAGCGAATAAGACGAACTGATAAGTCTAATGATCAATCACTGAAGTCCCCCAAACACTTGAAATGCCGTCAGATTTGTACGTCATTTCAGTTACGAGAAGTGCACAGGCAATGTTTTTAAGAAGCAGAAATTTCTTAGAGGCATCAATAGTTTCCTACTTTGTGTGATCTTAACCCTTTACCCTCCCAATGGATCATATATGACCCATTGTAGACATGATCACAGAAAATAAAGAAAGCATGAGACTGAAAAAC